AGGGATCCTTTTAAGTTTCTTTCAAACGAAACATATATACAGATATAGATATATAACTATAGACTATAGGCAGCCCGGGAGACTGCGGTTTCCTGGACAAAGCCGGGAGACTACGGTCTCCTTATAATTGTGGTGGACCACGGTTTGCCATCTGTCTGTGAGAGGAGACCACGGTCTCCTGCAGAGCTGGCTAGCAGACTACGGTTTGCTTAGTCAGTGATGCATGCATGGGTTGCTTTTCGGCAACCGTGCTGGCCGGCAGAATGCAGGCAGACCAAGGTTTGTTTGCATCTGCTGGCAAGCATGCAAAGCAAGCAGACCACGGTTTGCTTTGCTTTGGGAGAGGAGACCACGGTTTCCTCGTGGGTGCATGCCACGGCATGCACCAAATACTATATGTATATATATATATATATATATATACATGTGCTAAAAAGAGTCTGGCTTAAGGGATCTTCCCTAAACCCTATACCCTCCCCGATCCTCTATAAACCCTTTTTTTGTCCTGGCCAGGCGAAGTCGTCGGCCATGCCCAAGCACCGGGACCAGGATAGAAGGAGGAGGAGCTCGAGCTCAGAGGATAGAGAAGAACAACGAGATCCTCGACTACGGTCGAGATCTCACGAAGAGTCCGAGGACCAAAAGAAAAAGGAGGAGGATGGCAACAAAAAGCCAGAGGAGAACGAGAACAAGAAAGAGGAGGAGGAGAACTTTGAGGAGGAAACTGTGGCCTCCGAGGAGGCAACTGAGTCCGAGGACAAAGAAAAGGATCCGGAGGAGGAGCCGGAGGAGGCTACGGCCTCGAAGCCAAAGGAGGCGGCCTCGGAGGCTGCGGCCTCGAAGCCCAGAGTCCCTTCTCTGGATGAGAAGACCGCTCCTGATTGGCCGATAAGTGCCGCCGGCAGGCAGAGGCTGGAGAGAAAGCTTGCAACAGCCAGGGTCGCGGCATCCCAGGCAGCTCTCCAGTCCTGGGCAGAAGAAGAGCAGGCCAGAAAGGAAAAGAAGGAGAAAAAAAAGGGAAAGAAGGATAAAAAGGAGAAGGAGAAGGATGAAAAGAAAAGCGAACGAGAGAGATCAGAGAAAAAGGACAAGGAGGTGGATGAAAAATTGAAGGGGGCAAATGAGAAGGCAGCAGATGAGAAGAAGGACAACAAGCCTTCGGACGGGCCCAAGGGCCCGTCCAAAAAGTGCCCCATTTGCTGGAGGTGGATACAGGAGCATGCGGCCGCCCGTCGCCAGCACCGATTGTCGGTGTTTCACCGAACTTGGAAATACATAGCCCAAGGGCTCAGCAAGGAGGCTGCTGCAGGCCGGGCAAAGCGCCGGTTCCAGGAGCACTGGCAGCCCGGGAGGGAAGAGGAGAGCGAAGAGCTGCGGCGGGATTCCGGCAACAAGGGCCATGGATATGGCGACAAGGGCCAGGGATATGGCGACAAGGGCCAGGGATATGGCTATGGTGATGTGAGAGGCGGCTCCGGCCCCTCGGGGGCCAAGGCCCATACCGAAGCTGAGAAGGGCCGTCCTGAGCAGGCTAAGGGCACGAAGAAGAGAAAAAAGCCGGGGGCAGGAGAGACAATCTCCCTGATTGAGCCCGAGGATGACAAAGAGGATCGAAAGCCGGTGAAGCTTTTGCCCAGGAGTTTGCCAGCTAAGGCTGGCAAGACCGGCCAGGACAAGAAGAAGGGCAGCAAGGCTAAGGGCAGCAAGGCTAAGGCCAAGCGTAAGCGACAGGAGTCGCCGGTACGGGACGATGATCACGTCCCAATGCCGGACAAGAAGGACCCGGACGATCCGGAAGGAGGGTCTGGGAGCTCCTACGGGAAAGTGGTGACGAGCCTTTTCCAAATCGCCTGCCAGGAGCTTCGGCAGCGGTACTAGCTCGGCAGCCGCCTGCCGTCTTCCGAAAAACCAGAGTGCCGGCTGCCGTCTGGTGAAAAAAAGAGTGTCTCCGCGCTTTTTTCTCTTCTAGGGTTTAGGGTTTAAGGTTTTTTTTTTAAAGAATAATTTTCGGTTAACCTTAAGATTGGAACCTTATTCAAACGTAGAAAATATGATATAGTTTTTTCTATATCATATATATTGAAAGGAAACCATATGATATAGCATATTCTATATCATATGATGGCATCGCTTGCCATATGATATAGTTTCTACTATATCATCTAAGTCTGTGGGGCCAGATATCATATGATATAGTTTTTTCTATATCATATGTAATATTTTGGCCTCATATGATATAGTTTCTACTATATCATATGATTGACTTTGTTTTCATATGATATAGTTTTTTCCATATCATATTTTGAGGGTTTTGTGGGCCTGCCGAAATGTGTTCTCTGAGCAGCGGAAAGCAGGGCCCAAGCAGCCGTGCAGCATGCATACAGATGCCCAGAGTCGAGCACAGACAAGGTTTGGTGCAGTTGTGTTCGCAGACAGGCACCCCTTCCTGGGGCCATTTGTTGTGTCACCCGTCCTGTAGCTTGGTTTGTTGTTGCCATGGAGACCCAGCATCCAAGGATGCGAGAAGCCTCCACGGAGGCGTGTGGAAGCCTCCACGGAGGCGTGTGGGAGCCTCCACGGAGGCGTGTGGAAGCCTCCACGGAGGCGTGTATGTGGCTGCTTGCTGCTGCAGGCACAGGGAGAAGAAGGAACTCTCCACGGAGATGTTCCGGCATTTGCTGTTGGTGCGGTGCCGTGGTGATATAGGGCCATGGCCTCCAGCAGCACCGATGCTTTTGCTGAAAGACCAGCGAAGCTTCAGAAGGTGAATGCTCTGAGAAGGAAATTGCCCCATCTCACAGCCTCGGCTTTGTCCGAAGTTTGCAAAGTTCTGCGGGACGAGGGTGTCCCGGAACTCACACAAAGAAAACATATAGCCGAGGCTGCCTGGCAACCCCTGAAAGAGAATAGGATCCTCAATCGTCTGTCACTTTTGCAGACAGATGGTGCAGAGCTGCAGATACCCAGTGTCGATTTTTGGGCTCTGCTGCAAGCTGCTATCTCGGATGCCGACAGCAACTTCGCCCAATATTTTTGGGCGTGCATCGACAAGAATCCTCCGAGCCCCAGCTCGGCATGGCGGCTGATCCTCTATACGGACGAGATCGTGCCGGGTAATCCTTTGGCAGTCCAGACGAAGAGAAAAATCTGGGCTTGCTATGCCTCGTTCGTAGAACTTGGAAGCTATGCATTGCAGCACGAGGAGTCGTGGCTATGCATAGGACTGCTCCGATCCAGCCTGATGGCCAAGGCCGAAGCAGGTGTCTCTCAATGGATCTCGAAAATCCTGCGAGACATATTCATGCGGCCGGCCAACCATTTGGAGCACGGGTGCATATCGTTGCAGCGACCAGGAGGTCCGCCCGTCCTCTTCCGGGTGGTTTTGTCAATGATCGTTCAAGACGGTGGTGCCCATAAAGCTCTATGGAGCTGCAAGGGGGATGCTGGCACCCGCATGTGCATGCTGTGCAGGAATGTAATAGCACAACGATGTGATATCCTGCACAGCAGCGGGCTCCCCGTGGTCGGTTCCTCTGAGATCCGAGAAAGTAAGCTTTCGCTTGCGACCGACCAATCCATCCACGAGGCCATGGCTAAACTGGCAGAGAAGAAGATGCTTCTGAATGCTGCAGATTTCAGCACGTGGCAGCAAGCCACCGGCTGGACTTATAATAGTTGTTCCCTGCTGCAACAAGAGGATCAACGATGGCTGGTCCGGCCGGTCTCACAGTATTGCCACGACAGCATGCACACCCTGCTGGTCTCCGGTGTCTTCCAGACAGTGACCTGGCTTGTTTTGGAAGCTTTGCAGAAGCAGTTTCCCAATCTCTGGGAAATCGCCGACGAGTACGTGGCCAAGTGGACCCTGCCCCGGAACATCTCGGCCAAGGCCGAAGGGATGCTGGGTCAGTCCCGAGCAAAAGCATGCAAGGAAGCCGAGACCTTTAAATGCACGGCCTCCGAAGGCTTGACACTGTCTCCAATATTGGCTTGTTTCTTCAGGCAGCTCGCCAGGGCAAATGCAAATGTTGAGGCAGTGCAAGCGATCCAATGTTTCTTGCAGCTGGACAAACTCGTGGCATGCTGCCAGAGAGCTCGCAGTGAGGGAGCGGTTTCGCCCGGCCAGATGAGAAAGCACGTTTCCGATTTCTTGCAAGCAGTGCATGCTGCTGAGTGGCAGGACCGCATGCATTCCAAGTTCCATTGGCTTCTCCACTTCGGTTCGCACCTGGAAAAGTGGGGTTTCATGGTTCAGTGCTACACTCACGAAAGAAAGCATCGCACTATCAAGAGATTCGCCGAGGACATCAAGAAGACTTCTGCTTACGAGCAGGGTCTTCTCCGAGAAGTTCTTGGACAAGAACTATATTGCTTGGCAAGAGCTGATTGTTTCGCAGCGATGCTGCAGTTGCAGGACCCGAAGCCAGCTTCTCGGAGGAAGGCGGCAGCACTTCGCAAAATCATTCCGGAGCTGACCTCGGCACAAGTGATTCATGTGGCAGAAAAAGTCAGGCTGCCCTCCGGGGAACGGATATGTCGTGGCGATGCGGTGCTGCTTGAAGGGAACGGTTGCTTGGAGTGTGCCCTTGTCTGGGCATTCGTGGAACTGGCAGGGCAAGCCTACAGTGTTGTGCATTCCATTTCTTCTCTGCTTTGCGATGACCTCGTGGGGGAGTGCTCCTGCATAGACAGCCTGCATCTGCTGCCATGCAGAGACTTTCTGTGTGCATGCACATGGAGAGACATGGCCGGAGGCCGACGACAAATCATCCTGCCTGCTTCCCTCCGATGAAAAAGATTGATCCTGCATGCATCCTGGATTTTGGGAATCTGCACGTACACACACATGCAGGCGACCTGTACCATGCTCTTTTTCCATGGATGTGCATGCAGCTGCCATTTTGGCTCCTGTAGTGGGGTTGTAGCATCTTGGCTCCTATAGAGGGGGCTTCTGGATTCTCCTTTTCTGGCCACGGCTATATATATCTCGCCACGGCGAGATGGCCCGAGAGTTGCAGGCCGAGTTAAGCCCTATGGCCGAGTGGGCACAAAGTGGGAGCAAGGCTTCGGTCGATGCTTTGATGAACAGCTGGTGCACCCGGCTGGAGAGCCTTGGCTCTCTGTCGTTAGGGCAAGCCATGCAGATGAAGCAGACGATCCAGGATCTGAGCTTCGAGAGCACCCTGTCAGAACGGTTGCTTGAAAAAGTTGAAGCCAAAGTTCTGGCAACGGCCACGGCTGCAACACCGCCGCCAGATACTACATATACGCCTCACAAGCGAAAGGAGGAAAGCAAGCCGCAGACCTTGCTGAAGCCGGAAAACTTCATCACGGTCACTGAGTGGTCTATGCTGGAAAAGTCGCCAGCACCGGCAAGGCTGGAAATCCTTCTGAAAAGGTATCTGCAGCTGGGCCTGAGGAACCTCACAGAACAGACGGTCAAGAAAGGCCTGGCCTTCCTCTTGGCACTGGCAGCCGGCGAGCTCAGTCAGATGCCGACATATGAAGAGATCTACGAAGAGGTCCAGGTCTTCAAGAGATCTTGGGAATCCGTGAAAACGGATGCAGAGCCGACTGAGGTCGGCCTGCTCACGTATCCCGATGACCCCAGCAGCTTGCCGAAGGCTCTGTTCGACCGAGCCTACAAGGCTGAGGACCCGCCCATGGGCAAAGACGTGAGGGCTGGGATCTGGCTAGCTCACATTCCGATGCGATCTACTTCCAAGCTCTTGCAGAAGAACAAGAAGCAGAGGCTGCCGAGGCCAGATGGCCAGGCCGCCGTGTCTGAGCAGCATGCGAACGAGTTCCAGAGCCGCATGGAGCAGTGCTTCGGGCGACTGGAAAGAATGCTGGACCAGGGCTGCGGTCAGAATGCCATCCAGGATGGTGGGCGAAGGGAGCTGCAGCTTGCTGCAGGCGCAAGTATCTTGCAAAGGAGGACTGCATGCTTCTTTTATCTTTTCCTTTGTTTTGCATCTGTATACACAGCCCATGCATGCTTTTCCATTTGTATACCTGCTGCAGGACCCCTGGACGGAACTCCATCACAGGAGGCGAGCTGAGCAGCAGCAGTGCCGGGGTCGGCTTTGCTCTGGGCAACCCAGCCCAACCGGTTTCGGCTGCGACACAGCAGACCTCGCCAGGGCGACAGTCGGCCTTGCAGCTAGCCCTGCCTCCAGCCGAAGAACCCGAAGCAACGGAGTCGCTCCCTGCCGAGAACGATCCCGAGGACGAAGCTTTGTTCAAGAAGCTCAAAGATCGCAAAGCTGGGATTCTGAAGAAGCCGGCCGCTGCAGCTGCAGCGAGTGGCCAAGGAAACTTGGCAAAGAACAAGACAAAAACGAATGGCCAAGGCCAAGATCCAAAGAAGAAGGGCAGCGGCAAAGGCAAAGGAAAGTCCAAGGACAAGAGTGCTTCGAAGAAAGGCCAAGGCAAAGCAAAGGAGCAGCAAGCCCAAGGCTCGCATGGAAAGCGGAAGTTCCAAATTGTCTGGGAGGACGGCTGCATCCAGAAGAACTATGCTTCTCGCATGTACAAGCGAGCCGGAACGTGGGCAAAGCAGCAAGGCTTCTCGGAGCAGCAAGTGGTAGAGTGCCAGCGAGAGGCCCACAGAGAGGCCATTCTGCTGTGGAAGAAGAAGAACGGCTGCTAAGCCAGCTGTGCAGGGCTCGAAAGCGATGCAATGCCAACCAACTTTTTGCTTCTGCTCATGTGTGTGTGCACACATGAGCATGTGCATCACCGACTTAATCGGCATGCTGCACAGATCACGATCATTTAATTCCATGCAGTTAATGGCTGCATCCCGACTCAAGATCGCATGAGAGACAGATGCGAGGACAAAAGCCGAAGCTTTTTTTGTATATATATGTATATATACATATATACATGCAGGGCATGCATGACATGGTGCTTTTTCATACAGTATATATATGCGACCTGCTGTCGCGGCCACGGCCATCCTTATAAGCTCCTGCACACGTGCAGTTTCTGTGGGCCAAGGCCTGTGAAATGGGAGGAGCCTGCAGCCGCCGTTTGAGGATGGACCCGTGTGCAGGACCATGCACGGAATGCGGTGCCCCCAGCTGCTGCAGAGTGAAAAATGCACACCTGAACCACTGGTGTGCAAAATGCACAATCAAGTGGTACAACGAGAGGGATGTCCGTCGCAGCAACTACAGAAGGGCATGGAGGGAGTACGAATATATGAATATCGTGGAGTCCGGGGACGAGCATGCTCTCCCTACCGTGACCGAGCAGTCCTCTCCAGAGTATGAAGACAACTGGAATTCCCAGCAGGAAGTGGCTGAGGAAGAGGAGCATGAGGAAGAGGAGTCTGAAAACTCAGCAAGCTGAAAGCAAGCTTTCTTCCAGGCTACGGCCCCTTTTGCTGCAGGCATGCAGAATGGGATGCAGAAGGCTACGGCATCCCATGTATATTATATATCTGCTGAAATGCAGCCGTTCTCAGGCTACGGCCTTAAACGAGTTTCTCTAGCCCGAAGACCGTGAACGACCGGCATGCAAAAAAAGACTTCTGTTTTGCAGGGTTCGGGTTTAGGGTTTGAGGCTTTTATGTTCAGGGCTTGGAAGGTTTAGACGTATAAGGGACCCCTTTATGTTACTTAGACTAACCCCCTTTTCTAAGCTATGCTAACCCCTATAGCTAAACCAACTTAACCCTTTACATTTGTTTGTAAACAGATAGCTAACCTCGTAAAGTATGTTAACCATTTACAAGCCACCGGTTCTTCCCAGTATACCTGTTGCGCGAATCCCACTTTCCGACCAGCGGCACCGACATGCAGCGCCTGCTGGATTCTTGGCCGTGGCCTTCGACACAGGATTGTACCCAGTGACGGTATGGGCCGTGGCATTCCAGAGGACTAGAGCCCTCTTTGACCAGCGACATACGTCGTAGGGTCCATTTCCTGGCTCTTGCCGCTGGTTGTGGATTCCACCGTGGACTTGTGGACTTTGTGTGCACGATTGTGACACAACAGGATCCCGGGGCTGACCGTTGTTCGACGGAACTAGAACGGCGGCCGGAGCTCCGACTTTGGGCTCCACCGGTGGTCTTGGACAGCTCTAGGCGACGGCCTTTTGCTGTTGTGGATCGGTCGCTGAGGCCCCGTAGCTCGTGCTGAACGGCCAACACCGCCAAAGCCTGTGCGCCGCAGCTAGCTTTTTGCCTCTTTTTATCGAGCCGCCCTGTTTCACCGCTGTCTTTGTTCGTTTGTTTGTTTGATTGTGTTTGTAGGGACCGAGTGCTACAGCCGTAGCCGACGAGGCCCGCCCACACCAAAAAAAAAGCAAAAATTCAAACTTTGTTGTGTTGTTTGATATGTCATGTGTGCATGCTTCTACCATTGCAAAGGTCAGAAAAAGACATTAGAGGCCAGAAAAACATCTACCCGAAAAGACACAGGATCAGATGCGAGATGTACGAGGCCAAGAGAAAGAGGCGAGGTCGAAAAAAGATGGCAATCATTTTCGGAGCTGAAAAAAATGGAGGTCGGAAAAAAGACATGCTGGGTCGAAATCAAGATGGACCAGCGCGCGGTCTGGAAAAAGATATTTCGGTGTCGAAAAAAAAAGAGAGCAGCCCATTTTTCCTTGTTTGTTGGATTTTGTGATTTTGTTCGGGACTGAGTGCATCTGACGCTGTCGAGGAAGCCCGCACAAGCAAAAGAAAAGATCCGGTCAAGCAAAACCAATTTTATGTGACACTTTGCTTTGTCGTATTCACGCACTCATACCGAAGGCTTCTTTCGATGTAAATTCGATGCTGTGGATTCGCCGTTCTATGCTTGTCTTTCTTTTTCGATCATCTAGATGTGCCTTTCGCCACTGCAATGGCAATGGAGATGCTCTCGATTTCGGGCCGTTTTTGTGTTGTCGGCTGGATGGCATGTTATTTTCATGCTTGCACCGAAAACTTTAGAAGTGGCATGAGCAGTTTCCTGCCAGCTTTGGGACGGACATGACATCAACGTGGCTTAGCGCGGGGCAGTTGCTTTCGCATGGCTCCCCTAGAAACAAACAAGGCGCAAAAGCTAGAACAAAGAAGGAAACTGAGATTCGGGACACATGTTTCGTTATTCCACTGATAGTTCCGAGTGTGGTAAGGCGAAAAAACAATACGGCAAAATCATTGTTTTGAACCGTTTGAGGAAAATCCAACCACATAACCACATTGCACCACGGATCACCGCGGAAACATTTTGTAAGCAAATAACGGCTTCAGGAGCCAAGACGACACAAACGTGGTTTCCACAGCAGCCGTTAATGCATCATGGCGCGCCGCAAATTCGCAGACTTGCATTGCAACCACAAGCAACCAGGCCATTATTTTGAACGCCTGTTTTCAACCATGAATGTTTAAGATCTTAGCCTTACCATCGGAGGGTCCCATGTTTTTGTTGACCCGCATACAACCCAAAACCTTGTCATGCAAGGCTTTAATGTCCAGGGTTGCGAGTTGCGAAAGTGCACAACCCGTAGGTCCACACGTTCAAAATATATCCACAGATTTAATGTTCCAATGAAAACGAAACAAACACGAACAAACCATCTGCTCATAACATTCGTTGCAAATACATGCATCCATGCGGCGGATGTGCCGTGCGCGGAAAGATGGATCCGGAAGGACGCCGCGTTGTACTTTGGACTGTTGCGCATTTTCTGGGGTTAAGGTCGAGTGTTCAGTAAATTTTTTATTTTTAAAGTTATGGGTGATGGTTGCAGGGTTTGACGTGCTTTAGGTGTGTTGGTGGCCTTGAGCTCAGATTAAAAAACAACCCACTGTTTAAACCATTGTAGAATCCAGTTGTCTATGGTCAGCTCATGGCTTTTGGACATGAATTTCTTTCTGATTCTGTTTGCAAACTAGCAGGTAAGTCTTCACAAACCCGCACCAGTATATACCCATTATGATTCAAAAAAATCAAACTGCCAGCAGAAGGCATAGTGGCTTAAGGCATGACTAGAAATCCAAAGCGGTCCCAAGCCCCAAAACCCTAAATCTTCGAAACCGACACTGCCCTAACTTGCAAATGCATGAACCTGCCCTCGCCACATTGGCACCAACAGCTGTTGCGTTCTAAACGCTAAACCCTGGACCATAGACCCTACAATCCTCTAAGCCTTGACTTCGAAATCCTGTTCCTGCGCGGATCAAGTGCCCTGAAGCAAAAAGATGCGATCATGGAATTGAATTAAATGGTCGGATGCCGTAGCTTGGGACTCTAGGGTCTGTGATCTGGGGACATCGCAAGTGCGTCTTTAGTGAAGCTTTTGGTTGTATCAGGGTACTTTATGCCACATACGCGGAGGATCATCGGAAACGAGGGTTATACACAAGGGAACTAACGTAAGAATTTCGTTGCGCTCCAATGAAGGTGCTTATAACCTGACTGACTAACCCTATGATCCTCCAAGCAAGTTATGACCTACGGACTCAATCCAAGAAGCATTTAAAAAGCTCTCTGAAGTCCCAATCTTAGGGTTCAGGGCTTGGGGTTTATGGGTTTAGAGTTCGACCTCAACAGTCTGTAGCTTTCCGGTAATTTGTGCACGCTATAGCCCTTTCAGAACCCTGCAGAAACCGTTGTGGAACCCTTGTAGAACCCTGAGAAGACCTTGTAGAGAAACCCTCAAAGAACCAAAGCACCGTAAAGAGCCCTTATAGAACCCTGCCGGAACCGTTATAGAACCGTTGTAGAACCTCACACCCTGAGTCAGGACGGGGCGTGCCGTGAAAGGAGCATGGGCGGTGAGCATCTGCGCCCCAGACCCGGTTTTTTTTTGGTTTTTCATGACTTGCAGTTTGTTGGGGGTTTAAGGTTTTTGCGATTATAAACGATTTCAGGATTTTTTTTGGGATTTTAGGGCTTGGGTGTGTTTGGCGTTTTGGAGCCGCGAAAGCACTGAAATCCGCTCTCTCATGGTGCATCGTCTTTTCTATAATTATAAGGGTTTCGGGTTTAGGGCTTTTAGGGTTTGGGGTTTGGGGTTTAGGGTAAAACCTTAAATCCCAAGCCATATAGTGAGCTGCCGGAATCTGATGCAGAGTGATGGCGAGCTGGCTCGAGATTTTGCAGCATCCTCTCATTCCTGGGATCAGACTTTAGGGCCTTGGTCTTACTTGGAGGGTCGGGGGACTTAGTAACTGGTTATTTTAGGGACTTAGAAGTACCATAACCCCAATGTGGGTCCCTTTTAGGGTACTTATAAGTCTACTTACTACCTACTTACTAAGTCCCCTGACCCTCCAAGTAGGGGTTCAGGGTTTAGGTCATGCGGCTTTGATACCTGAACTTATGGACTGGGAATGCGCTCCACGGCTTCGCAGAATTCCCTAAACCCCAAACCGTCTGCAATGACCTAGAACCCAGAGAGCCCAAAACCCCGTAATTAAGGAATATAGCTTAAATCATAATATGAATCTTATAATTTCAGGTATATTCCTTACTTAAGGGGTCTCAGAATTCCCTAAACCCTAAACCCTATAGATCCCTTTTAAGGAACCCAAGGTATCTTCCTTAATTAAGGGGCTCTCTGGGAATCCTCAGCCCCAAGGGCCTCGCTGAGATTTGGAAAGCTTTCAAGTTGCACCCAAGCTTGCAAGTTTTCCGTGATCCTTGAATCCTAGTCCCCCAAAACTTATATGGGGGGTTGTCAAAATTCGGGTCCCCTTTTGTGTCCCTATTATAACTACGGCATCTAATATTTAGGGTACCCAAAAATAAAGGGACCCTAATTTTGACAACCACTCATATCCCAACACCTTAAAGCCCGGAACCAGCTCCTTGGGTGCTTTACCTAGAGGGTTCAAGAACCCAAATAGCAGCATTTTATAGAACCCGAAAAAGAAATCCCAGAGCCTCCAAAACCCTTTGATTAAGAATATATCTGAAATCATATCAGGGATCCTTTTGTGATTTAAGGCTTACTTCTTAATTAAAGGGTTTTCGGAGGCTCCGGGATTGCTGAATGGTTTTTGTTTCCACTACCCGCTATGTGTGCCCCCCGGAGCTGCACTGAACGAGGCTGTGGCATTTGCCGGCGAGTCGCTCCTGCAGCCTGCCGTTTCCTTGGAGAAGGATCACTGTGAGCCAAGGGTGCTTTAGGGATCCGGGTTTAGACCTAAATCTTTAATTCCTTTCAGGCCGATCCCCTTAAAAGGACCCTCAGAGTACACTTATGTGGGTTTTAGGGTTGAGCCTTGCATTCCTGCCCGTTCGCTGCACAGGTCAGTTTGTCGTCGGAAGAAAGTGTACCTGGACAGGCCTGTGTTCTGCTTCTGCCTCTCAAGTCTTTTAAGGGGGTTGCGATAGAGTAGCGCCATGGCGCTGGAAGATATCGTGTACGTCATTTGCGACAGCCAGAAGGGCCCAGTTTCACTTTGTGGGTGGATAGTCGGGCTGCCGGGCGCAGACGCTGTGATCGGGACTTCAGTGAAGGCCACCCTTGGCCTGCCGCAGACTGCTAAAGGAAAGCAGGGTGAGCACGAGGTCTCTTTTGTGCGTGTGCCCTTAGCTGCCGTGACCGAGCAAGCACCTGCTGGATGGACCGGGCTGCGCCCCAAGGATCTGCCTCCTTTGAGGCCCTGCCAGGCTGCTTGGAAGGCCGTCGAAAAAGGCGGGGCAGAGCTGGAGAGCAGTGGGGCCGAGATGCCTCGAAGCACGAAGGCAGCTGGCAAGACCCGAGGGTCCTTGAAAGAGGATTTGAAGAGCCTGCAAGGGCTCTGGAAGGACGAGGAAGACGAAGACGAAGACGAGACGGACGACGAAGAGGACGACTTCCCTCGCAGCCGCCGGAAGAGTCGAGTTCTACCGCCGGGGCAGACGGCCAAGAGCCGCAGCTCCCGGGAATCGCGGGAAGAAGGAGGCGATCTGGACATGCGAAAAATGATTCGCAAAGGTCTGGCCGAGGGCCAGAGCCCCAACGAGCTGATGCCTTTGATGTTGATGACTCTCGCTTTGGAAAAAGGCGAGGGCCGCCGGAAGAAGAAAGGCAAAGAAGCAGGTCGGGACCTCAACCTGCTTGGTTTTTCGGACTCCGACGACAGCGACGAGGAGACAGGGCACTTGGGGAAGGGCATGCAGGCAGTGGCCACGCTCCACCGCTTGCACGAGTGCATCAGGAAGCGGCCCAGGCGAATCATCCAGCAGTTCGAGGCCGAGGTTGTGAGAGAGCCCGGTGTGACGGCCGGCCAGCCATGGACCCTCAACGACTGGGTCAAGCGCCAGAGCTGGGGCAAGTTCAAGGGACTGCAGAGGGCTGCCGTTCAGGATGTCGAGGTCTACGAGTTGCTCCGCAACGGGGAGTCAGCCGCCGCAGCGGCACAAGTGATCCAGAACTTGAAAAGCAAGGTCCAGTGTGTGCTGCTGGCTCCTGGCGGGTCTCGAAGACCCCTTGACCAAGAAGGAGTTCGCCGGCTCGAAGCAGGAGATGGCGATCATCTCTTCCTATGTGAAGGCCCTGGCCGACCTCAAGAAGAAGGTCCGCGAAGGGCAATCGGCCGGGAGCGCAGCCGACGAGGAAGGGGACGGCATGGCAGCCGCCCCGCGCAAGTGACTGCCCCTGTTTTTCTGCATGGCGAGGTGGGCGAGCAAGTTGTGCATCCTGCCTTGGTTTTTGGGAATTCGAGATTTGTTTCTTATGTTTCGTGGTTCGAGGGGGCCCAAAGTTTCCTGCTGGAGCGGTCCGGCGACCATGTGCCACTCTTTCCATGTGCCTTGCCCTTCCCCGAAGTGGTGGTGGCAGCGAGCTTCCCGTCGGATGAGTCAGGGATTTTGTTGGTGGTCCCGGGCCTTCGTGAATACGTTTGTGGCCTGGGGCAACTTCGTGACCTTGGGGTGTCCGGCGGAGGGTGCAAGTGCATATGAGCCGCGAGTGAGCTACAGATGTGCGGCGGAAGCCCGGGCTTTCGCTCTTGAGCTCCTTGGCGAGGTGGAGGAATTTGCTACTTTGGACTTGGTTCTGGGTCGTCTTGGGTGCTCCGGAAAGAGGGGTTGTATAGATGAGCTTCTCAGGCAAGTCCGCTGTACAGGCGGTGCATGTTATGCGCGGACGGCCCAGGTACCGGGAAAGGTTTCGACCGCTTTGCCGGTGGTCGCCTCGCGGGTGGCTCTGCCTCCTAAGGCAGGGTTGGTGGATCCATGTAGGTGGTTGCCGCCCGAACGTGCGGCAATTCTGCAGGACTTGGCTAGCCTCAAGAAGGCAGAGGATGCCTGGGGTGAGCTGGTGCGCAGGCTAGTTCGGCATGGTATGGCGCTCCCGTTCTTGGAGGACGCTCTTCCTCGCGATCGTGAAGGGCGGCTGCTGGTGGGAGGTTTGTTTGGGGTCGCTAAGAACGAAGCAGAAGACAGACTGATCTTTGACAGGCGGCCGGAGAACGCCACCATGGAGAAGCTGCCTTGGGCCAAGCTCCCGAGCGGGGCCTGCTTTACGAGGTTGCTGCTTAAACCCACTGAGTACTTAAGGGGGTCTGGGGATGACTTGCGGAATTATTATTATACTTTGCGTCTCCCTGACAACTGGATTAAGCACAATGCTGTGGGACGGCGGCTTTCGGCACAGGTTCGGCGAGAACTCGGCCTTCTACCTCATCGGCAGTACAGGCTGTGCTTCAGGGTGCTAGCGATGGGCGACGTCAACGGGTGTGATATAGCGCAGGCGGTGCACGAGTCGGTGTTGCAGAGGTGGGGCTTGCTCGGGGCCGATTGTACTTTGGTCTATGGCGAGCCGGTTCCACGCGGCCCGTCCTGGCAGGGGGTGTACATAGACGACCTCCTGATTTGCCAGAGGTGCTCGCTCGGCCGGTGCCATTGGATGGAAGCTTCCTGCCACCACCCCCTCTGCCACAGGATGAGGACGTGCAGAAGGTGGCGGCGGCCGAGCAGGCGTACGAGGAGGCGGGCTTGCAGCGTGCCATCCACAAGGAGTTTCGGTTCCAATGTGCTTTCAAGGCGTGGGGTGCTGAAGTCGACGGCGTGGCCGGCAAGGTCGGTGCGCCCAAGGACGTGCGCAGGCAGGTCTGGATGCTCCTGTTCAAGATTGTGTCGGGTGGCTGGGCTAGTGGAGATGTTCTTCGGCAAGTGCTGGGCTATTTGGCCTATATCTTCCAATACCGTCGGGAGCTTTATGCGTTGCACCATCGTATGTATAAGTTCGTGGATGGGATGCCTCCGGACAGGTGGATCAAGCTGCCGAATTATGTGCTGGACGAGTTGCGGTCGTGTGCTTTGCATCTGCCTTTTGCTGTGTCTTCCATGCGCCGCCGGGTGTCAAGCACCTTGCTGGCGACCGACGCGACTCCGACCTCAGGTGGAGCTGTGGTCACGGAGGCCCCCGAGGCCCTGGCAGAAGAGCTCTGGAGGCAGAGCGAGATCAAAGGCGAGGCCGTGCGCATTGACCGAGGGCTGGAGAGCGAACTGAGCGACAGTGCTCCGAAGGTGCCCTCGGTTTTCGCCAGCACGGTCGGCGAGTGCCTACCTTGGCATGTGGTCGCATCTTACACTTTTCGTGAGACCTCCCACGTCAACTTACAGGAGCTGCGTGCGTGGCGCCGGGAAATGTGCCGCATTGCAGCCAGCGGGGGACACGGGAATTGCATCGTAGTGGCACTCAATGATTCGCGTGTCGTGGTCGGTGCCGTGGCCAAGGGAAGATCGTCAAGTGTGCGATTAAACAACCTGCTGAGAGGCGCCCTGCCCCACTTGATCCTGGGGGGCGTCTCAGGGGCTGTCCTGTGGATAGAGACTGCGGCAAACCCTGCCGACCATCCGTCGAGGTTTCGGCCGCTTCCTGCTCCTCGTGCTCCTCCAGGCTGGTTGCAGGCGTTCGGGATCAAAGAGAGTTTGCGGCTCCGTGGGTGCGAGGTCTGCTCGATAAATGCGATCGTCACCCAACAACATACAAGGACCTCAACCTTGAGATGAATCCACCTTTGGATCTGTTGCAGGGGGGCGCCGGACAAACCCGAATCGCGGAGTTGCACATTGATGTGGCCCGGGGCTTTACCAACTGGCTGTGGCTGGCGCCGCCATGGACAGGCTTCACCGCGTGGGAAAACACACGGCCAGGTGGGCCACCCCGGCGGGATCATCGGCAACGAGGCGACTGCGCTGATCCCGGAGTGGCTGAGGCTTCAGAGCTGTGGCAGTGTTGCCTGGACCTGGCTTGGGCCCTCTTGCAGGCTGGTGGCTACTTCTTCCTGGTGCATCCACGGCGCAGTCGAGCCTGGGGCCTGGCTACCACAGAAAGCCTTTTGCACGTCGAGGGTGTTCGCTTGCTCAAAGTCGACGGCTGTGCTTTTGGTCAGCCTCGTGGCCGTGCGGTGCCCAAGCTACCATTGCGAATCTTGACGAATGCACCGTGGGCCCAAGCCATTGAGAAAGAGTGTCCGGGGACCCATGTGCCTTGTGAGTGGCAGCCTCGTTTTCAGACAGAAGTGAGTCGGGAGCTGGGCCGTGCGGTGGCGGATGCCCTCGTACGGTGGACGCCTTCGCAATGCTAACCTCACTCCGGCATACCGCCGGGGTTTGCGGGTGGCGGCCCAATGGTTGTTCGATTTAGCTGTTAGCTTGGGCTGTCGCTTGACCAGAGACACGCCGCCGCCCACGATTGATAGGGTCCTTGAGAAGTGCATTGACGAAGCATACCGCAGGGGGGAGAAGCTCTACTTTGTCAGGCTCGGGCTGATTGGGCTCCAACGTGCCTGGCACTTATCGGGCCCGCTGCTGAGGGGCTTGGGCTGCTATAAGAGGCTGGCGAGTACTTCAACCAGTGAGATCCAGGATACCCATGTCCCGGTCGGGTTTGCGAGCGCTACTTATTACCTTGCTGGCCACAGGTAACTCCACGGAGGGCTTTGCGAGGGAGTGCTATTGGGGAGCCATGTTGGCTTCATGGCTCAGCTTCGAGGCCCTACTTAGGCCGGGCGAGACCGCGGCCTTGAGGATCTGGACCTCACCTTCCCAGATGGCTGTGCTGAGGAGCTCGAGGCCGGGGGCCTCGTGATCACCATCCGGAAGCCAAAGACTCGGCGGCTGTGGCAGACCCAGTTCGTGCTGGTTAAGGACCTGTGCTTGATTAGGTGGCTGCGGTGGTGGACCGCAGGCACCCGCCATGATCGCATTCTGTTCAGGGTGGCCCGGCGACAATGGAGCCGCCTCTTTGCCGAAGGCTTGGGCCGTCTTCATCTGGGCGACCGAGGTTTCACACTCAGCAGCCTTCGCTCCGGAGGTGCAACGTGGCATTTTCGGGTCTACGAAAATCTGCCGAAGTTACAGTACATGGGCCGGTGGTCACGTCCAGACACTCTTAAGTACTATTTGCACGAGGCCATGACCATTAAAGTGGATGCGGAAGCCAAGCCCGAATCCAAGGATGCCGTGCATTTGGCTTTGCAGCATGTGGACAAGCTTGAGCTACCACCCCGGCGCTTCTGGCTCTAGTGCGCAGGGACCTTTAGGATGTCCTCTCGACTTTCGCGAGCATTGCGGGAGCTAGCGGCTGCGCTTGAGGAGGCAGAAGCGGAGGAGACCCCCGCCGCAGGATCTTGCCGCAGGATCTTCAAGACAGGCATCTCCGAGGGCTGGTGAGGCATCCTTGGGGGTCACGGCCTTTGCTTCCGCTACTCCCACTTCGACGTTGCAGCCGCGGGCCACGGGCCCTACCGCCCGAGCCAAGGCGGTCCAAGAAGCTCCGCGTGCCCGGCCGGGCCCCTCGGAGCCCACTCCAGCTGCTCAAGGTGCAGTGACCGGCTCGGCGGTAGCATACCGCCAAGATTGGCGCATCTACCTCATCCTGGCGAATCCAAGACAGCCGCACCGCGTGGGCCTAGTGCAAGGACCTGGTGCAGACACATGGCGGAAGTTGGAACAGTCGCTCCCAAACGGGCGGTTGTCCGGCTCAGCCGTACGGCTCCGACGCGTGGAGAGCTTAGCTCACGCTCAGCGCCTCTGGCAAGAGGCGCACCCCACTCTGGTGATGCCTCTACTGGAGATTTGAAGCGACGGAGGCGCTCATGTCGGCTGTGGGCTCGGCCGCGGATCGGCTGGGTACTGTGGAAGTGGATGGTGGTCGCACGGCGGCGGAGATCCTGGGGGACGAAGCGTCGCAGGCCTCGGCGGCGCGCTGGCGCTCAGGAAGTTTGCAGCGCAAACTGACGGCGGCCTTGGCGAGGTTGGTTACGTCAGTTCAGCAGTGGACTCCTTTGGCGACGCCGCCGGGACCCAGCTCGAGACCTCTGGCTCCCGTCCAACCGCTGCCCCTACGACCTACCACCGCAACCGGAAGTGCGCCTACTAGCTCACTACCGTTTGGTTGGAGGTGGTCCGGCCCTTCGCTCTGCTGGCCACGGACCTGGCGTTGGAAAACACTGGCGCTGCTGGGGCTGATGTGCCTGTTTCCTCGGGTCGTTGCTCTGCTCCTGGCGTTGCTCTTTCGCCTCTTCATTCGTGGATGCCTCGCCTTAGCCAGCCACGTGCTCCGGGAGCTGTGCACGCAGACTTTGGCTTTGGCAGGGGAGCTGGAAAGCTTCATCGTGGAGTGGCTCACCCTGCAGCTCGGCATGCAGACGACGACCCCGGCACAGTTGACTCGGCCTTTTCAGGCCCCTCCTAACGACCATGGTTCCTACGGTTACCAAGACAATAACAACAACTTTGCTGGAGCTGCTACCCTAGTTGCCCTCCCTGCCCGGCCCCTCGACTTCGTCACTTGGGTGCTCCTCGCCTACAATATCTATCAGCAGCGCCAGCAAGGTGGGGTGGGGATTCAACGAGGAGTATGACCTACGGCCATTGTGGAGACTTTTCTCTTTGATGCTACGGCTTTGCCTTGGCATACGGATTCTTATGAAAGCTCGATTGGCTCCCTCAGCCGAAAAAGTGCGCCTGCTTTGAAAGCTTTAGCTCCGGAGGCAGATCGCAGGCCAGATGAGGGGAAGGAATGAGCCTTGCATTCCTGCCCGTTCGCTGCACAGGTCAGTTTGTCGTCGGAAGAAAGTGTACCTGGACAGGCCTGTGTTCTGCTTCTGCCTCTCAAGTCTTTTCCACCACCGCCCCGCCACCTCAACGAGGAGTATGACCTACGGCCATTGTGGAGACTTTTCTCTTTGATGCTACGGCTTTGCCTTGGCATACGGATTCTTATGAAAGCTCGATTGGCTCCCTCAGCCGAAAAAGTGCGCCTGCTTTGAAAGCTTTAGCTCCGGAGGCAGATCGCAGGCCAGATGAGGGGAAGGAATTGGGGTTTCGGGTTTAGGGTTTTGGGTTGTAGGATTTGGGTTTTGTGGTTTAGAGTCCAGGGTTCGGGTTCCATGAGGGTTCTGCAGGGGCTGTGTAAAGGGTGTTTGCTTATGGGATTCTGTAAAACTTTCGGAACGTTTTGTGCCGGATTTTCAGAGGATCGCTGTCAAGATGTGGTTGTTTAGGAACGTCCTAGCCTGCACTCTGAAAAACCCTTGCATCCTAAAGCCGAAACCCCAATCTCTCTACTTCGAGGATCATGGGACTTAGTCACTACTCACTAGGGTTATAAATACGGTAACTATACTTATAACTCCACTTAGGGTACTCGTAACCTGACTTACTACTGGGAGGGGCAGGGGACTTAGTAAGTAGGTTATAAGCAGTTATCAGTATCCTAAATGGAGTTACCCCAATTATAACCCTACTTATAACCTACTTACTAAGTCCCCCGCCCTTCCAAGTAAGTCCCATGATCCTCCAAGCAGACCCTGGAGTCTACGCCTTTCCGTGGGACTTTGGGAATGATGTGGCTTTCCGGATGGTTTTGGGAGATCGGGTACGAGGTTCCCTTTGGGGCTTTCCTGTGGATCCAAAAACCTACCGTTTTCAGGGTTAGACCTTCTAATTAAGGGGTCATAACCTACTATTTTGTAGGGTTTGGGGATACAGGTTGGTCCTTGTGTATCGCCTGAAAGACTAAACGCCACATAACACCAAAAGTTTTTAAACCCTGGACCCTAAAAACAAAAACCCCAAACCCCGGGACCACGTAACGCCCCAAAAGCCGCCCGTCCCGGAAAAGTAGCGTGGATTTGGGTTCAGGGTATATGGGGTATACAAGGCATATAGGGGTTATTTGTAAATAGGGTCTAAAAAAGGCATATCGGTTGATTTATAGAATCGAGCTTGAAACGGCCGCGACTTCCTCTCAAGCTGAAAAGGTGCCGTCCCCTCCCGCATGGACCTCGCGCTTTCCGCTGCTCGCTTGCTTCACCAAGGTGCTAGCACACAGCTCTGGGGACTGGCTTGTCCATTTTACTGTTCGGGTTCCAGCCTGGGCAGCCACCTTTCCTGCCTCTTGCTGGGGCTCATAGCTGGAGCTGCTCTGGGGGCCTGGCTGGCTTATACTCTTCTTCTCTCGCGAGAGGATCGTGCACCCGCGCGACCGCGGGAAACTGAGGTGCCTGCTGAGGTACTTCTTGCCCGAAGGCGGGCCCGGCTGAGCACATACGTGTATGAGTGAGGGCGATCCTCCGGCTTGGGATCTTTCGCTGGAAATCGAGGGGCTCTCCCTTAGGCTTCGGGGTCTTAGGCTAAGCCCTTCTTCCCACGAGCCTGCCGGCCGAACTGATTCCCCTAGGTCCTCCCTTTCGGGTTTTTCGGTAGTCTCCCCAGGGCCTTCAGGTTACCCTAAGTCCTCAACCCGTGTTCCGCCTGAGCACCTTTGCAGCTCGGCGGCCCAGCACAGCCAGCCTGCCCAGCCCATCAGTCTGCAAGGCACTCCTCCTCGCCTCCCAGGCCGCTCTTCGGCTTCCGCTGCATCTTCTTCCTCGACCTCGGTCGTGCCTGAGTATCCCTTGCAGAGCCCCGGGGCTCAGCGGTTCGCGCTTCGTCAGCGCATCGCTCTTTCTTTTCCTGCCATCCCCGACTCCTGCCTTGCATTGTGTCGTGGACTTTCGGCCTCGGATTTGGGCCCAGTGGAACGTGCGGAGAGAGCTTGGATTGCTGGGTGCTGGGCCCAAGCCGTTCTTGCGGGCCAGGTTGATCGCCCGGACCCCAGCCCTGCTTTGAGCCTCCCATCGAGGTTCTACTGCATCTTGAGGGCAGAGGGACTCTCTGCTCCGGTGGTGTGCTCCTCTCTGACTGCCTTCCGAAGGGTGGTCGGGCCTTCTTTGGGCTCTTCGGTGACCCACGGGTTCCCTTCTTCTTCTGAGGCAAGGGTGTACTTCTCCGGGGCTCGCCTCCCCTACCCTTCTTCCCTCATCCGCTGATGGACCAGATCGTCGCCTACGAGACAGGCTCCGTTGAGATCGTCGAGTTTGCCTGGCCCCCGCCTTCTGAGGATAGGGCCTCTGCAACATGCGTCGCCTACTGTATTATGAAGCGGCCCTCTGGATTCTTGCTTTGCATTCCGGAGGGTTTTCTGTCCCAGGGAGATCTGGATGCAGGGCTGCTGCTTGCGGAGGAGGAGGGGATCGGCCCTTCTCTGTCGATCCGGGTCGCCCCCGTGATGCTCACCGAGAGCGGCGACTGGGAGGCCGTGACGGACCCAGAAACCATCCCGGCCGTCGTGGTGGACCTGTCGGCGCACCTGGCCGATCAAGTGAGCATAGCCGACTTGAGCCAGCCCGATCTGGTTCCTTTCCTCCCGGGGCAGGTGATGATGTTTCCTCGTGCCTCGGAGGTGCTGCGAAAGGCAAAGGAGTGGCTGTCGTCGACAGGTGTTTTCCCGGACGACCGGGCTGGATACCATACCGCCTTGTCAGGTCAAGATGCTCCCGCGGCGGCGGCTCAGAGGGAGAGGCAGGCAAAGGCAAAGAAGCCGACTGTGGCTCAGCTTGCCGCCCAGCAGGCAAAGATGATGGAGCTTATGGCCTCAGTTGTCTCCCGGCTGGATGCAATGTCCCCAGCCGAGGCGGCCCCTGCACAGATTGCCCCGGCAGCAGCCGCTGCCCCTGCAACAGAGCTTCCGGCAGCCCGTGCTGTCCTGCGCCAGCCCGTTTCGAGTGTGCTGCCTCCTTTCCAGACGACTCCCAAGCAACTGGCTTCGACTTTGGGCCCTCCTCCCCCCGTGCGTGCTCAGCCCCTGGCTGCCGAGCAGCAACTGGACAAAGAGGAGCTGGCAAACGCAGCAATGGGAGTCGGCGAAATCCCCGGCACGCCTGGGTCGGGCTCGCTTGCCTCAGCCGTGTATGCCCAGAGCCAGGCCTTAGTAGCGTTGGTCAGCCAGATGTCGTCGAGTTCCGGGGATCCCCTTCTCGAGGCGCCCGCCGGCCAGGCTTCTTCTGTGAGAGGCTCTCTGGGTCGGGCCCGTTTGCAGGAGGAGCTCGCCGCCAGAACGGGCGGTTTTGCCTCGAAGGTGAAAGCAAACATGGCACGCCGGATGGACCCCACAGGATTGCTGGCGGAGGATCAGATCAGCTACATGCGCTTCCTGGAGAGGCATGGTGGATTCTCTTCCCACCACCTCCTGGGCTTGATTGCCTGGCAAGTGTCCCAGTCGCTGGACTTGTTGAGCATTGGCTCGGTTTCGGGGGCCCAGGACACTTTAAGCCTGCTTCTTGTGATGCTGCACCAGGTCGCGCTCGACAAAGGCAACAGCACTTTGGGGTGGCTTCTTACGCTTCAGGCCGAGCCGCCCGCCGGGCTCTTCTCTCAGCAAGCTTCGCTTCCTGGAAGCAGCCTGCAGACTTTCACCCCGCTAGCGGAGCAGCGCTGGGTGACAACGGCGCTAGCTTTCACAAAGGAGCTGGAGACCATCTCCGGGAGAATTTCGGAAGGAACTACCAAAGCGACTCAGGAGAGGCCGGCTCCGAAACCTCCCAGCGTTCCGGCTCCCGTGCTGGACACTGCAGAGACCCAGCTCAGTCGAAAGCAGCAAAGGGCAGCCCAGTGGGCCGCCAGAAAAGCCGCGCAGGCGGCGCCGAAAAAGTGAAAAGGCCTGCGGGCCCACGCACCTTGCACCACGAGCCAGCTTCTGCTAAGCAAGCCCCCGGCCACGTCGCCCATTGCCTTGAAGGTGGTGGGTGTCGGTCTTCCCCGGCTGGTGGTTCTTGTCAGGCTGCGGCTGCGCCACTTGTTCCACCTTTTGAAAAGGCTCCTGATGGTGAGGATGCTTCCGCCCATGCTGTGAGGTCGGGCGATGATTTCCCTCTCTCCGGTCAGGATGCCTCGGAGGATGCTGGTTTTAGCTTTGGCTCCTGGGTAGCGACCTTGCCTCGTTTGATTGGGCAGGGAAAGACTCAGTTTGCCAGGTACCTCCTTGCCACTTTGCCTTTGCGAAGGGAAGGTTCTCTCACTTCCTCTGCCGCTCTTTTCCCGCTGCCTCTTAAGTTTGAGGGGGCCTTCTACCAGCGGTCCTGCAGAGACGCTGCGGCTTCTCGCCGCCTGGCTGTTGCCCGGTGTACCCACTTGGTTGCGATGACTTTGAACTACATCCACGCGGGCTGCCGTCCTGTTCCCTTGCGTTCTTTGCAGAGGCCCCTCTCCTCTCTTCAGGACCAGGTCTATGAGAGGTTGAGAGGGCTTGTTCGAGCGTGTGCCCGCCAGGCTGACTTTGTTCCTGCCTGTGCTGGGCGTCGCGGCCTGCACTTGGCCGCCCGTCTTTCTGAGGTGTTGGCTTTTGTTAAGGAGAATGGCCTGGAGGCCGGCCCCTACGCTTCTCCTTCCGTCCCGCCTGAGGGGACGAGTTTCCTTCCTCATGCTCCTTCCGAAAGTGAGGCCCTGCAGCCCTACAGGAGCATCCGAGCCGACCAAGTTGTTTTGCACGGCCGTGGGCTTTGGCCTCTCGAGGAACACCTCGGGGCTGACCTCTTTCTTCCTTACGTTGAGCCTGAGGCGATACGATGGTGCGGCCCTCCCGCTCCTGCGCCTTCCTTTGCCAATGAGGGAGGGGGTGAGCTGCTGAAGCTGTGCAAGATATGGGACGCAGCAGGCTTGTTGGGACTCACGCCGGCGCCACTCCCGCCTCGTCTTCTCACTCGGGTTTTTGGGGCATACAAGGGCCCATCTCAACAGAGGCAGATAGGAGACAGGCGCGGGATTAACGCGCTGGAGCGCCGACTCAGAGGGCCTTCTTCGAGAATGCCCACGGGCCCCCTTCTGTGCCGGCTGCATGTGCCTTTGGGTTCCTGCCTCTGCGGTTCTGTGACAGACCGGCGGGACTTCTATACCCAGGCGAAGGTGTCCCGGGAGAGATCTCTCACGAATGCGTGCGGGCCTTCATTGCCTCTTGCTGCCTTGCTTGAAACCGCCGCTGCGAAGGAGCTTCTTGCCCGAGGCCAACATGATGTCGTTGATCCCAACCTGTATGCAGGGGCTTTGGATTTCCCACGCCCTCCTCTGCTTGTCGACTGCCGCCAACGCGTGCACCCCACCTTCAAGGCTTTGTTCCAAGGTGATGCAGGGGGCGTAGAGTACGCTACTTCGGCCCACGAAGGGTTGTTGCAGGCCTATGGGTGCTTGCTAGGCACTGGTCGACTCGAGAGCAGAAGCCGAGTAGCCCGTGAGGGACCCTGGCAGGGCCTGATAATAGACGATTTCTTCGCCCTTGCCGTCGAGGACGGGTCTCTTGTGCCGGGTGGGCCCTCCGCTTCCTCTGTGTTGATCGATCGGGCTAAGGTCGGCTACTCTGCTGAGCAGGTTTTGGGATCGGACAACAAGGAGGTAAGGAGCCAACGTCTCCTCTCGGTCGCCGGGGCGCAACTGGACTCGACCCCTGCTACCGTTGCCGAAGTCGGGACACTGTGCGGCTACCCTGTGCAAAAGCGCCTTGCTTTAGCCGCTGCCTCTGTCCGTGCGGCGCAGTGCCCGGTGCTCTCCGAGGAACTCGTCTCGTGCCTCACCGGTTGCTGGGTCTCCTGCCTTCTTTACAGACGGTGCTTCATGTCGGTTCTCGACAAAATCTTTGCCTTAGGGCGTGCCTCTGCTTGCGAGGGAACCGATGGCTCGAACCTCCGTGAGCTGCCCAGACGCACCGCCGGTGAGCTTCAGGTTCTAGCCGTGATCGCTCCGCTTGTTGTCAGCAACCTCTCGGCCGAGCCAGACGATCGCGTCTATGCCTCTGATGCCTCGAACCTCCGTGGTGCCTTCTGCTCCTGCGAGCTTCCTGCCGCAAGCTCTCTTGAGATTTGGCTTGCCACCGACCAGAAAGGGGAGGCTGTTAGACTTGACGGGGCGCCGAGCCATTTCCCTGAGCCTGCGAGGGAAGAGGTCGAAGGTGACTGTGCAGAAACCGGGCCCTGTGTTGCGAAGCCTTTTGCCTATGACTTTGACTTCCTTGAGGTCGGAGGATCAGGTGCCATCACCAAGGAGGCCCAGAGGTTAGGGTTTGATCCAGGGCCCGTTGCCTCTCGCTTTCGGTCCCGCCACTACGACCTTTGTTCACCCAGGTTTCGGGATTGGCTGCTTCACATAGTTGGGTGCGGCCGTCTGCGGGCCCTTGTGCTGAAGCCTACGCTGCTGACCTTCAGCCCAGCTTACCGGCCCTGCCCCCGTACCTGGCGACACCCTTCCGGGAAAGATGCGGTTGATCCTCGGATCGAGCGTGAAAACAAGGCCGCTGCCACCATTTTGGCCGTACTTACGGTTGCTGGCCGTCTAGGGGTGCCTACGATTTTGGTACTTCCTAGCTCCTCCCTCTTTCCGCGGCTCTCTGCTTGGACTTCACTCCTGAGAAAGGGGGCTTTCCAACGAGTGCGGGTGCCCACCGTCTGCTTTGGTTCTGGTCAGGGTTCAGGGTTCCAGCTCCTCACCGCCGGCATTGATGTGCGAGGTGCCCTTGAAGTCTTCAGCCAGGATAGGAATTCGGTGACCTGTCCCGCTGGCCCTCCGGCCTTTGCCTCGTGGCTCGCGAGTTTGCTGGCATTTGCTCTGCCGAAGGCCCCGGCCAGTGGGGACCCGCCTGATGCCAAAAGGCCTGGGCTCGAGAGCTTCGTCATCAATGACATTCTGTCATCGGCCTCCTGGGTCGTTGAGGCCTCTTGGCGTTGGAGGCAGGCCGCTCACATCAACGTATTAGAGACGCAGGCAGCGGTGCGCACTGTCAGGCACATCACGAAAAGAGGAGGTGACCGGAAGACCACCCTTCTGCTTGATTCCTCCGTCGCTAGGGGTGCGATCTCTAAGGGTCGGTCATCCTCCCGTTTGCTGCGCCCGGTGCTCCTCCGCATGTGCGCTACGCTGGTAGGGGGTGGTGTCTACTTGGGCTTGGCCCACGCCCCCACCAGGTTAAATGTTGCTGACGATCCGAGCCGAAGCGTTGATTTGCGCCCGCCGCAGGGCCAATGCATCACTGAAGAGCTCGAGCCGGATGAGCTTCATATTGCGTTGGGGCTGTGCGCCCTTTCCAAAGCCTCTGCTGGCTGGGTTAGGCTTTCCCTAGTCCTCTCCTTTCGGGTTTCTAAGTCCGAGCTCCTAGGCCTTCTCGTTACCCTAAGGGAACCCCTTAGAGCCCAGTTCCCCCCTAGTGTGCCTCATGTGCCGGCCGCCTCCAGCCGCCACGCTTCAGCCTTGGACTTCGATCAGACCCTAGGTTACCCAGGTGAAGGGCCGCTCGCCCCGAGGCACAAGCAGGACGCCACGCGGCAAAGAGCAAGACTAGACCAAGCCCTGCCTGAAGGCCGGCCGGTCCTTCAGCAGACTTCGAAGAACAGGTCTGCCTTACTAGTCGCCTTCGTCAGCTGGCTGGGTGAGGCAGGTTTCGAGGAGAATGCTGTTTACGAGTGGCCCGCCGAGGAGCTCTCCAAGGCGCTCGCGAAGTTTGGTCGGGAACTTTTCGAGGCTGGCTACCCCTACTGGCATCTCTCGGAGACGATAAATGCTTTGGCAGCAAAGCGGCCCGCCATCAGGAGGCAGCTTCAAGGGGCCTGGGACGTTGCCTTTGCATGGATGGCTTTGGAGCCTCATACCCACCATGTTGCTATGCCTGCCATCATCCTCCTCGCAGTACTCTCTGTATCTCTCCTTTGGGGATGGAGAACTGAAGCTGGAGTTTTTGGCTTGGCTTGGGGCGCTTTGTTGAGAATAGGGGAAGCGATAAATGCTACCAGGGCCACACTTGTGCTGCCAAGGGACGTGCTCTGGTCTCAGGACTTCGTCTTGCTTAGCATCGCTGAACCGAAGACGCGATTTCGTGCTGCAAGGCACCAGGCTGCGAAACTGGAGGCTTCGGACCTGGTCACTTTGGCCGACATCGCTTTCTCGCGTCTGCAGCCGAGTAGCAGGCTCTGGCCCTATTCGGCTCAGACGCTCAGGAGGCGTCTGGATACAATTCTAGAGGCGCTCCTCATCCCAACGGCCAGGAATGAGGAGCGGCCTCTAGATCTTGGTTCTTTCAGACCCGGTGGCGCCACCTACTTGCTTCAAGCGACAGAGGACGCCGAGCTCGTCCGTCGCCGGGGCCGTTGGGTGAGTCACAAAGTCATGGAGGTGTACCTTCAAGAAATAGCGGCTTCTACTTTTTACCCAGGATTGGCCCCAGCAGCAAAACGCAAAGTACTTGAGGCAGCCTCGTGCTTCCCGGACTTGCTGAAGCAGGCCTGTCAGTGGACTCAGGCGAGCGTTCCCACTGGTACCTGGTTTCTCCTTTGGAAACACCAAAGTGTTGCCACGTGCACTGGCGACTAGGTCGGGATGGGAATTATGGGAAGTGGCACCTGCAGCTGCTATCTTGATTTTCGGTAGCGGCTTGCATTTCTTGCGAGATGTAAATGCCTCGCCGGTACGTGGTGCACGTGGTTCTCATCGGGAGCAAAAGAGAGAGCGAGATTCTGATTTATAGAATCGAGCTTGAAACGGCCGCGACTTCCTCTCAAGCTGCCCGCCCGCCCGCCCTTTTGGTATCCATTGGGAAGTGGCACCTGCAGCTGCTATCTTGATTTTCGGTAGCGGCTTGCATTTCTTGCGAGATGTAAATGCCTCGCCGGTACGTGGTGCACGTGGTTCTCATCGGGAGCAAAAGAGAGAGCGAGATTCTATATAGGGTATATGGGGTAAATAGAATTGTATAAGATTTTTAGGGTATATGGGGTATTTCGGGCATAGGGCATAGAGGGCTTATGGGGCTTCGGTTCCCAGGATTTCGACCCTAAACCCTAAACCCTAAGTTTGGCTTGAAGTTGGGGGGGTCTCTGGCATCGAATGGTTTGCTGAGCCAAGAGGAGCTCTCGTCCCTGCAAGTCGTCCGCCGACGGAGATGCCCTGAGATTGAGGGTTTTAGCGGGTTTAGGGTTTAGGGTTGAGGGTTTAGGGTCTTTGGGTTTTGTTTGGTTTGGGGGGAGTTAGCTTCAGAACACCCTGAATTCAGCACGCTGGACCCTACAGCCTAAGCCCTAAAATATTCGATATCCCAAGCTCGAGACGGGTGGTTGTCAAAATTATGGTCCCTTTTTGGGAACCCTAAATATTAGGTGTCGTATTGTAATAATAAGCACCCAAAAAGGGACCCTAATATTGACAACCAGCCAGATGTTGAGGGCAGGGTTTGGAGATTCAGGACTGCTATGCCCGCTTCGGTTGTATCGCTCCTACACCGTTCGAATTATTGAGCCCCAAACCTTTCGACATTAGTTTGGGGTCTAGGGTTTCGGATGGTTTAGGGATGGTTTAGGGTTTAGGATGGTTTAGGGTTTAGGGGCATTTTTTGGGGGGTTTAGGGTTAAGGGTTGAGGGTTTCCCAGCCGGACGAGCCTCTGAAAGAAAGTTTGAAGTGCAGTAAGCAGGTACTTAGCTGGCTCAGATACGTACCCTAAGTGGGGACCAGGGTTTAGGGTTCAGGGTTTAGGGTTTAGGACCAGTTTAGGATTCTAAATGGTCAATTATCTCCCTAGTGAGTTTAGCTGAGCCCACCACCCACACCCCGCCGCCCCACACCCCTCCCTCCGCTCTCGTCTCGAGCAGCTCAAGACTCTGAAGGGTGCAACAAGGTCATTGCAGGGTAGAAGATGCGTTCGGAATTTTGTAGAGAGCGAGGTTTCGCGTGCAGGGTGTAGGGCGTTCTACGGATCAGTGTGAATTTTCCGCTTCCTCGAGGAGGATCAAAGAATTTATAGGTTTGTCTGTTTTTTTTCTGTAGGACCTACACTTGAACCATTGGGATTTCAGGAGGTGGGGGGCGATGCTGGGCTGGCGGAGGGTGTTCGCGTGCAGTATCTCGGTGCGATGCGATGTTACGGTGAGACACGCGGCTGCATTGCCTGTAGCGAACACTCGTGGCACGGATGACTGTTCAATTCCTTTGACTTATATACCACTCTGACCCCTAAGCCCTAACCCTAAACCCCAAACCCCAAACCCTTGGAACAGTTTCACCAGGTGTATGGGCGATGGCAGAATGGTGAACTTGATGATGCACAGGTCATTGCTTGCTACGGGACCTCGGTGCTTGATTTGTTCCAGAACCAGTTTGCAGTCATGAGCGGGGTTGAGGAGGACACGAACGAGTTGCTTCGTGGGGGAGAAGGGGAAGCAGGGTGTCCGGGACCAACACTGGACGATGGAGAAGAGAAAAGTACGGCCTGAGTGAAGAAGCAGGGTGTGAAGAGGGTCGTCGTCGCTGGACCAGCAGGGTGACTAGTGAGGGGTGGCTTTTTCATAGGGCTGGAAAGTGCCCTGGATCTCTTGACCATTCTTGGTCTTGATGTTGGTCGATTGCCTGGCGGACATCAAAAAGGAGCTCAAAAAAAAAAAACCTAAACCGTCTGAGGCAGCTCAAAGGCATCATCCGCTCTGGCCGGGTCACGGTCGATGGCGAGGCCGGCGCATAAACAAGGCTGAGCAAGAGTCTTCGCAGGTAGCTAATCCCCTAGTGGTTCAGTTACAGCAGAGGTCATGCCAATAGCAGCGGCAATGGTTGCAGCCCGAGTACAGAGAAAAGTGTTAGTCTTCTGAGGTGTAGTGGCAATAGGTTGGTGACAATACAGACTGTCAAGGCAAGAGTACTCATCATAACAGAAAGGAAACCCCAAATTCTGAACCCAAACCCTAAACCTGAAGGCACATGAAGCAACGTTGAGACGATGAGTAGGTTTGCAGAAACTTCAGACATACGGGTAATCATTAAAACAAAACAGTGAGAACCAGCCCCATCAACTTGTCCAGCGTCATCGTTGCAGTGCTGCACAAACCAGGGTGAAAGTGGTGGTGGTAGTAGAAGAAGAAGAAGTAGAAGTAGAAGAAGAAGTGTAGTAGTAGTGGTAGTAGTAGTAGTAGTAGCAGCAGCAGTAGCAGTAGTAGTAGTAGTAGTAGTAGTCGTCGTCGTCGTAGTCGTAGTGAGTTGACAATGGTAGTGGTAGTGGTGGTGGCAGTGGTAGTGATAGTGGCAGTTGTCGTGGTAGTCGGAGGAGAAGGAGGAAGATTCATAGGAGTAACAGGAGTAATAGGGGCAATCGGAGGAATAGCAGTAGCAGGAGTAGTAAGGTGAGTAGTTGGCCTAGTAGGAGTAGTAACAGCAGGGGAGTAGGAGAGGCAGGATTAGCAAGAGTAGCAGGAGCAGTAGGAGTAGTCGGAGTAGCAGGAGTGGGAAGTAGGAGTCGTAAGAGTCAAAGAAGTGGTGGTGTATTCGTACTTAGTAATAGTTGGTGAAGTGGTGTTGGTGTGAGTTGTGGCAACAAGGGTGTGGTGGTCGAAATACAAGTAGTGCTAGCAGCAACGATTTTACAATCGTCGTTTCTCCGAAGACTATTGGATTGCTTCCCTCAGCCCTCAACCCTAAACCCTCAACCCTAAACCCTAAACCCTTAAAACCCTAAACCCTAAGCCCTAAACCGCTTAAACCGCCTAAACCCCTAAACCCTAAACCCTTAAAGCCCTAAACCCTAAGCCCTAAACCGCTTAAACCGCCTAAACCCCTAAACCCTAAACCCTTAAAGCCCTAAACCCTAAGCCCTCAACCCGAAAGTCCTGATTTTCGGGAGTTGTTTTTACTACGACTCGTAGCCTTGGGAGCCCTAGCTTCTTTTGCAGCCGTGCTTCTCCGTACCTTTGGTTAGTAGGGAACGGGAGAATGGTGGTAATAGTAATAGCAGTTATAATTGTTACCCCATTCCTCCATTCCCTACTAACCAAAGGTCAGTCTCGCCCCTTTTCGTGGCCATCATTCGGTTTAGGGTTTAGGGTTTGGAACCCTACGCCCTAAACTCTCTTACTGTCGTTCAGTTGCTGCGTTTGGAACGAAGATGCTTGGCCTGTTGTGACGTTTCGGGCTGTATTGTTTGGGTTTCTTTTCGGTAGTCCCTAAAAACCCTAAAACCCCAAACCCAAATCCCCAAACCCTCCTCAACCCTACACCTTAAACCCCAAGCCCTAATCCCTAATCCCTAAACCCTGAAACCCCAAACCCAAATCCTCCAACCCTCCTCAACCCTACACTCTAGCCACTGCAGCCCTAGCCTGGTCCTCCAAAACCCCTTAGTTAAGGAATATACCTTAAATCATATTATGGATCCTACTATACTTTAAGGTATATTCCTTAATTAAGGGGTTTTGGATGCTCTGGGTAGCCTGGTCCGAGGTGGTGCGGAACCTGAAGCAGGAGGCCCGTGGGGTTAGGGTTTGGGCTGTTTCAGGATGTAGGGCTTAGGGTTTGGCGTGTGGGGCTTAGGGCTTCGGGTTTAGGGTTTATACGGTTTCGGGTTTAGGGTTTAGAGCTTCTGGGTAGGGTTTAGGGGAGCTTTTCTTTCCAGGCATTCTTCCGGGTTGAGAGGTGCAGTGAAGTTCAGCATCTCGACGTGGGTTTGGCGGCCGTTCGCGGCAAAAATGTTTCTGTGTTTCTTATGTAATGTAACGCGTAGACGTATTTGCTCAGTCTGTATGCATATTGACAAAAAGACTTTCTGGCCAGGGTAGCTCCGCGACATGCCACACTGCAGGCAGGCCTTGAAGCCTTCAGCGCTGAAGCTTGTGGCATGACTGCTTTCAATTCCTCATGCTCCAATTTTTGGTATATGCGCATACATGGGCAGTCCTCTGATGTAGGTACGATTGATCTTTATGTACTAAACCCATAAAACACCGAAAAACCCTTAAAAACCTTAAACACCATAAAAAACCTAAAACAACAAAAAAAAATCAAAACCCCTAAACCCATGGATGCATGGAGGGATGCGCGGATGGATGCACAGCACGGGAGCCACAGGAGCCCTCCTAGAACCCTTTGGAGCCCTGATCAAGCCCTGCGATAGTCCCTCAACCCCTAAGCCCTGCACCCTAAACCCAAAGCTACCCGAAACCCAAAACTATCCTAAACCCAAAACTACCCTAAACCCAAAAACTAACCTTAAACCCAAAACCCTAAACCCCCTAAGCCCAAAACCCTAAACCCCTAACGTCTAAACCCCTAAACCCCTAAACCCTAAACCCCAAACCCTAAACCCCTAAACCCCAATCCTTAAAGCAACTCCACAAGGTGGCTTCCGAGGCAACTCTGGCCATCGACGGGATCGAAGTAGATCGCGTGGGTCGCCGAGAGGGCTTGGGGACCGTCTAGGGTTCGGGGTTTAAAATTACGGTTCGGGGTTTTGGAGTTTAGGGTTTGGGGTTTAGGGTTTAGGGGTTTAGGGTTTAGCGTTTAGGGTTCAGGGTTTAGGAGTTGACGGTTCGGGGTTTTGGAGTTTAGGGCTTGGGGTTTAGGGTTTAGGAGTTTATGGTTCAGGGTTTAGGAGCTTAGGGTTTGGGGTTTAGGAGTTTAGGGTTTGGAGTTTAGGGTTTAGGGTTTGGAGTTTGGCGGTTGGGGTTTAGGGCTTAGGGTTTAGGGTTTGGAGTTTAGGGTTTGGGGTTTAGGAGTTGAGGGTTTGGGGTCTAGGGCTTAGGGTTTGGAGTTTGGGGCTTGGGGTTTAGGTTTTAGGATGGAGCGTCAGGGTTTGATGATCTGTTTGGATTTAGGTTGAGAGCCGTCGATTGCCAGGGGGTGTTTGGGAGAGGGGTTAGGATACAGGTGGTGGTGGTTTTGCTGCTGCTGCTGCTGCTGCCAGGCTGCTGCTGCGGCTGCTGCTGCTGGTAGCGGTTGTCGCTGTTCCCACGGTAGCAACAAAAAAGACAACGTGATCGATTTCGAAGAGAATCAAGTTGTGACATCAACTAACAACATGTCCACATGTAGTCAGCTGGTGGCGGTGGTGGTGGTGGTGGTACTGTTGATGGACAAAACCCTGCATGACCCTAAGGACTCTAAACTATGGGAACTATGGTATATTCCTTATTATGGGTAATGCAGAATGTTGTCCATCAACAGTATTAGCGGTTGTAGCAAGATCCGCAGCAGTAGCCTAGTTTTTTCAGAAGTCGCAGTTCGAGAAGGATTGCGGCCCGAAGGCTACGGTTGATGATGTAAAACCTGCCTTACCCATAATAAGGAATATACCATAATTCCCATAGTTTAGGGTCCTTAAGGTAATGCAGGATTTATATCATCAACAGTAGTATAATTGGAACTAGGCTTAGTGCATGTTCTCATGTTTTGAGGCTTCAGGCGGATAAACCCAAAACCCTAGTGGGGTGAAGGATTTTGCTTTTGGGCTTTGGGCGCAGGGTTCTGGTTCTCGGATATCTAGACCCTAAACCCTAAACCCTAAACCGTAGGGTTTAGGGTTTAGGGTTTGACCCTTTTCAGCCACAGCTTTTCGATGTCAGGTTGGGCCATGGGGCTTTACGGTTCAGGGGGTTCTTGGGGGGTCGGGGGACTTAGTAAGTAGGTAGTAAGTAGACTTATAAGTACCCTAAAGAGGACCCTAATTGGGGTTATGGTACTTATAAGTCCCTAAAATAACCAGTTACTAAGTCCCCCGACCCTCCAAGTTGCAGCTGGCCTGGAGGTGCTTTGGATTTCTGGTTTAGCGTCTTAAGTTTCGGCATTGTAACTAATTAGATTACAACACCCTGAACCCTAAACCCGATTACAACCCCAAGCCCGAAACCCTACACTCAAAACCCGAATCTTCGATGCGTTTTACGATGTTTTTTGCGATCCATCGTCCTAAAGCCCAGGCTCCTAGGCTTGAACCTAAGGCCTAGTATAGGTGCCTTCATAATTACCTATGCTATTTTTTTTTTTGGGGGGGGGGATCCTTATCATATTCAAAGTATAATGGGCACCAAAACCTTATTCCAATTCTTTTAAGGCCACTATATGATGGGTTTGGGGGTTTAGGGTTTTCGGGTTTAGGGTTTAGGTTTTTTTTTGAAAATGGTTTTCGCATCATGTGGCATAGGCCATGATTATTGGGGTTGAGCATTCAAGGTTTAGGGTTTTCGCGCCTTACCATTTCTGTATTACCTCAAGCCCTACCTCAACCCCAAATAAACTACATTTTTATGGACTTTCATAAGGACATCATCATTGGGAACCTCAAAAGGAGGGTTTTATAGGGTCCTGGCAGACCCTGAACACTTTAAGCCATCGTACAGGTTCCACCCCTCCTCCTCAAGTACCACAAGCCCTACGACGTGATCACTTCCATGGACGAGAAAGGGCGCCAGGACCAGGCGTAAGATCGAAACCTAAATAATTTGCATGACGGCATTATGGTTTGCTCTCGTCCTTACAGTATAAAACGCACGAAAGCTTAGGGTTTTTTTAGGTTTCGGGGCTTTACTCTGCTTTTTGTTGTGGGTTTGGATCAGACCAGCGAGTTTCCGCCGATAGTTCGTAAGTATCTACGGAGTTCCTACAGTCCTAGAGACTCCAACACCCTTCAGTTAAGGAATATACAGGGGTTCTGAGCAATCCTACTTGAGAAAACTCATCAATCGCTTGAGAAAACTCATCAACAAGAACCCACTAATTAGGCTATTCGGCTATTCTTCATATAAAGAAACCCTTAAAGGAATTCTGCAGGAGCCATTGATGGACCATTACACGAACCCCTAAACCCTAAACCCTCAGCCCTTACGCATCCCCTTGAAGAGAACCCCGCAAGGAACCCTTACAGGAACCCCTGAAGGGCCTCTGGGGAGGATTTATCCGATGCGCTGCCCGGGCAAGCTGCGCCCTGGGACGAGAACGCCGCAGGGAGCTCGGGGTTGGTTCTTTCTTTCAAAGGCTTTAGTGGTTAAAGTTTAAAGTTCAGGGTTGAGGGTCTGGGGTGGGTTTAGGACTTGCGCCAATCGTTTAGTGCTTTCAGGGTCAGATCCGGAAACTTGCATTCGGAGGACTCCCTGGGCCCAGAGCTCGGCATGTGTAAGAAGTAGACAGAGGAGAGCAAAGCACAGGGCATGGGGTTGACGGTTCAGGGCCCTACTTGGAGGATCATGGGAGTTAGCAAATGAGGTTATGAGTACGTAATTGGACTTAGAAGAAGGTAGGCTTTCAAGGGCTGCTCCACTACTCCACCTAAACCCTAAACCCTAAACCAATTTCCCAAACGAAACGTCTCGACATCACTAGACCGCCTCCCTCCTCGGAGGGCCGGAAGTTCTTTCGACTTTCCTTCTTAGTAATGTAGGGGCCTTATAATTAGAATAGGGTTTTGGGCAAATTATACTGTAACTATAATAATAATAAGACCTTAATGATTAGAATAGGGTTTTGGAACCATTATACTATATTAATAACAAGGAACCACCAACCTAGTATGGGCAATTATCTAGGCTTCTAAAGTAGGGTTTAGGGGTGGTCTTGTCTCGCTTTGACATCTCTGCTGAAGGCAAGTAGTAACTACGGTAGGGCCCAGTGGAATCACGAAAAAACAATAGAGATCATCTCGCGCCCTGCGCTGATCTTCGAAATAAGCTGAGCGTGCTGAGGAGTTGTCTGATGCTCTAAGCCGTCTTGCTGAGCCGCATGTGCCAGACAGAAACCATGTATTTCGGTATGAGCTGAGCTTTGAGCGAGCTTTCAAACCAGAACCGAAATCCCATGATTGTAAACGACGAACCCCTCTGCCCTGTTGGCCATCTGCGACGCGACTAGAGCTATGCTCCTGCTGCCCTTTCTGTTGGTACTGGCAAAGGCTTGTCCCGGCAATGTGAGCGGCACATGCACGAGTTTGGGATACTAGGTTCCTGAGTGGCACCCTTTTGCCCTTTTTAGTTTAGGGTTCCCTTATTAAGACCAAACAGCAGGAAAAAGGGTAGCCTTATTATAACCCTAAACCCTAAACCCTAAACCCTAAAACCCTAAACCCTAAACCTTAAACCGTGGCTACTCAGAAACCAAGGATATGACTGCGTGGCCCTTGGGGCTCCCCTGGAGGCCTGCGATTGCCAGGAGGGCTTTGCGGCCCAAGCCGTAGCCTACTACCCACTCGAGACTGAGCTCTAAGTTTAGGGTTTTAGGGTTTGGGGTTTAGGGTTTAGGGTGGTTTTACGGCTTGAAGGGCACTTTATCATTTACTGTAGACCCCTCTTACGGCAGCTTAAACTGAGCAGTTCACCGTTTCAAGGAAGCCATGCTATTTGCCATAGATCCCTATGGCAAGTTAAGAACCCAAAGCCCTAAACCCTAAAATCAAGAACCCAGGACATCGTCGGAGCCTTTGTGTATGAGTGCTGCCCCAGCGCTGGTGCAGCTGCGGCTGGCTGCGAGCTGCCCGCGCGTCATGAGCAGCACCTGCAAGTTGCTGGGCTCTGGTTTATCCAAGGGTAAAAGGAGGGACCCTTAATAAGGACCCCTAGGTATATACCCTTAAAATAGCTACCATATACCCATTATATAGCCCATTATAGGGTAGGGGTCCGCATTAAGGGTCCCTCCTTTTCCCCTTTGAGTTTGGGAACTCGTTTATTTTTCTGAGGGTCCAAGTCCCTGAACCCCTAAACCCCCTATATCCCTAAACCCCTGAATCCCTAAATTTAAATCCCTAAATCCCGAAACCCTCATGTAGGGTTATTGGTAACCAAAATGGATGCAAAGTCCTATACTAGAGAGTACTTGGCGCCCTTAGGGTTCCAGTTGCCATATTGGGGATCTATAGCAAACAATAGGGCCTACTATTTGCTATAAATCCTGATTATGGTAACTCTGATAGGGCTTCTTAAAGCCTGCACCCCAACTCCCTTTACAAGAGCCCAGGTGATGCTGGCTGCAGGTGCTGTTTTGGCTTCTGTGGGTGTCTAGGATGCCCAGTAGTACCCTTATTCCCTTTTTGTAGTCCTAGGTTCCTTATAAAGTTACCCAATACCGAAAAGAGAGGCCTTTTTATTCTTACGTTACTGGGTATCCTAGGTGTGGTTGGAGCCTTCAGCGCCTCAGTTCTTCGCATTCGGAGGAGGCCTTTTCCTTTGAAGCCAGGAGACGAGAAGCGGTTAGCTAAGGGATCTATAAGGGATTGACAAGGGATCTATAAGGGATCTTTAAGGGATCTATAGGGATCTATAAGCCCAGAGACTCCAATACCCCTTGATTGCGGAATATTCCTTAAATCATATTAGGGATCCTACTATAGTTTAAGGCATATTCCTTAATCAAGGGATGTTGGAGTCTCTGGGAGGCTAGGGCCTCGGGTTTAGGGTTTAAGGTTTGTCGGCTTTCGGGTTCAGCGTTCAGGATTCAGGGGTTTTCGGATTTCGGGTTTCGGGTTTGGGGGGTTTCGGGTTAGGGGTTTAGGTTTTTAGAGGGCTTTGTGCATAGAAACCAGGAGACGAGAAGCTTCTCTCGCCAGAACTACAGGGAGATGGAGCCGCAATGCACCAGGCAGTACCGATGCAAAGGTGGTGCGTGACCCTGGAAGATCTTCGAGAGTTCCGACGACTTATCATGCATGCAGTTGCGCAGCAAGTAATCCGGCCTGACGAACGCGACATGTTCGACATCTCTGATTTGAGGATTGGGCCATCAGTTTACACAGTCAATAATCAGTTCATCAAGCCTGTGACCGCTCGTGCTGGCAAGATGAGCTGGGCGTTGCTGAAGAATCCAAGCGGTGCAGACTGTCATGTGTTTGTGACGCACTGCTGGGCCGAGGGCATATACGAGTTCATTGATAGGGTGGAGTGCTCTTGGCCTGCAGGTGCCCAGGGCGCATATGTATCTTGGTATCTGAATGAGTACGCTTCACACTTTTTGGGACGGTTTGATCCCTTATGGAACTGAAAGTGTGCACGTTTTTGGGCATACCAACTCAGCAACTAAGGTATGCTTCTTGTCCAACCCACAGAACTTGGATATCTCTAGTTTGATCTCGAGCCCAAGTACCTCACCGTTTGCTTTGGCGCTACGTTCCTGGGTTGCTATTAAGGGGCTGAGGTTCAAGTTACCATTAGAAGGGGACATACAGCAAATAATCGGGTTTCCTTGTTGTAGTAACTTAATTTAAGTTCCTTATCGGCAACCCAGGTTCGGCATCCGCGGTGCTTGTCCTTCCAAATGAGACCGTGAGCATTTACACCCGGCTGTGGTGCGGATGGGGAACAAGAGAAGTAAATCAGGGTCAACAAGTTAAATTGGCACTACAATGCGGTAGTTCTCCAAATTAGGGTCCACCGTGAACTCCGAAAGATTCTACGGCACCGTACAAAGACAGAGGACCCTTTAAGGGGTCCTAATTTAAAGAAGTACCCATATATCAGTGCTTCAAAAGTATTCATGCCAGATTAAACGCTACGGCAGGAGCCCGGAGAGAACAAACGACATACCTCCAAAGAAAGAAAGGCAGCCAGAAAGGAACCAGGGTTCAGGGTTTAGAGGGTAATACATACATAAACGAAGAGTCATCGGAACGATTTAGTAAACCCAGTGTTCATAGCAATGTTAAGAAGGGGGCACGGGGTGAAGCTTCTTAACACAGCTTAAAAGCGCCGCCATATTTCCTCCATCCACAGTAGTAATACTGCTAGTACCACTACCACTACCGCTACCACTACCACTACTTCTACCACTACCACAACCACAACCACTACCACTACCACTACCACTCGCACTACCACTACCACTACCACTAGCACTACCACTAGCACTAGCATCAGCACTAGCACTAGCACCGGCACTAGCACTAGCAGTAGCACTAGCACTAGCATCAGCACTAGCACTAGCACTAGCATTACCACTACCACTACCGCTCGCACTACCACGACCACGACCACGACCGCGACCACGACCACGACCACGACCACGACCACGACCACGACCACGACCACGACCACCACCACCACGACCACGACCACGACCACGACCACCACCACCGCCACCACCACCACCACCACCACCACGACCAAGCGTCTGGGCCCGAGATTGCTACGAGTGCCCCGGGATTCTTTTCGGTTGTGTGTGTTCCCCCTCCCCTCCCCCCCTCTCCTTTAGGTTCAGGGCCTGACTGCACGCCATAACAATCGGCGCCTCTGACCTTTCTGTAGATGCTGGCATGGCTTCTGAGCATTTTTCTGGGCCTGGCTCTACAGTTCGTACCGCAGCACAGCGCTGGTTGGACGACAGAAACACCAGCAAACCGACTGGGCCGCTGCAGGGACTTGTGCTACGCTATCAGGGCATGCGACTACCACAGGGATCCTCTTCAACTACATCGAGCTCTTCGACTGCATCGTGTCCTGCATACCGAGGTGACACTCAGTCGGACGCCAGGGCACACGCACGTCGCTTGGTTTCAGGTCACAGAGGCTCCTCCCCTAAGTCCCGACCCTGCCTGGATCTCAACTCCATGGATTAGTCTGTGCAATCCGGTACCGGCTGGTAGGTATACCTCCGCCGGTAACTGCGCCCCATCCGAGAACCAGACCACCACCCTACACATTTGTCAGACTACCAGCAAGCCTCCCAGCCATGGCTTCCATAACCTTCGCCGATTGCGCGCCAAGTGCTCCTGCAGCTCCTCCTGCCTACTCGGTGCTCTCCGACCCAGGATGCCTAGGATACTGCACTGCCCATCCCAACAGGTACGCAGCGCTTCGTGTCGATGGCCGGCCAAAGCCTCCATCATCCGCCCAGGAGACAGGGTTGTGGGAGTGTTCTTTGTGCGCGCCCACTTCTGTCCTTTGCATGTTGACTCGGAGGCCAGCTGTGCATTCGTCGCTGTTGCACATACTGTGCTGGCTCAGGGACGGGTATGGCCTTC